TTTCCTGCCTAAGCAGGGGGTCGGACTCGATGATCTATTGAGGTCCCTTCCGACCCTAGCATCTATGAATCTATGAAGTAACTGGCTGCATGAATATAGGTTAGGAGAAGATGTCCTGGCCAGTATAGTGGCTGAAAGGGACCTTGGGATTATGATTTATCACAGGATGAACATGAGCCACCAGTGCAATGTTGTAGTCAACAGAGCTAATAGCATAGTGGGATGGATTAGCCGATGTGTCGCGAGCAGGGCTAAGGAAGTGTTACTTCCTCTCTACTTGGCGCTGGCAAGACCCCAGCTGGAGTACTATGTCCAGTTCTGGGTGCTGCACTTCAAAAAGAGACGTGGAGAATCTTGAAAGGGTCCAGAGAAGGGCCACAAGAATGATTAAGGGCCTGGCGGACAAACCTTATGAGGAAAGACTAAGAGATCTGGGACTGTTCAGCCTGGGGAAGAGAAGACTGAGGGGGGACTTGGTGGCCGTCCATAAGTATGTAAGGGGTGAATATTGAGAGCTGGGACAAAAAAAAATTGTTCACTAGGGCACCCCAGGGGAGGACAAGGAGCAATGGCCATAAAACTGTTAGAGGATGGTTTCAGGTTGGATGTAAGGAAGAACTTATTTATGGTAAGGGTGACCAGAATCTGGACTAGACTTCCCAAGGAGGTGGTGCAGTTCCCAACCTTGGAAGTCTTCAAGAGGAGACTGGACGGACAACCTGCAGGGATCATTTGATCTCAGCAGTAATCCTGCCTAGAGCAGGGGGGTTGGACTCCATCTTTTGAGGTCCTTTCCAGCCCTTAATTTCTATGAGTCTATGACCTTCCTTCACATACTGATTTTAAAGGACAATCTGGGGAAGTAAAATTTATACTCACTTGGCTTTATGAGGATCTTCTATTTCTAAATCCCAAACATAAAGTTTGCCAACCTGATTGCCCAAAGCAAGCATCTTTGAAACAAGAGAAAGAGCATGGCAATTACCAAAGAATGGAAACGAGGATTTTACAAAGACTGTAGGACTGGCAACAGTTAACACACATCCAGTATTTCATATATTCTCAAGTCACTCTAGAACTATTACATTTTCACACCACATACAATTAATTTGCCCGTTATACTATGCATAAAATGGAGATGAATGATAATGGAAATCTTCCACAAGGCTCCCAATGAGGAGCCAGGATAGATCTGGAATTTTCACGTCTTAGTACCAAGCTACTTTTAGTATCACATTAGTTCATGTGAGCCAAGCAAAAATTCCTCATTTGCCCCTCTCTCAACCAAACAGATGAAGAGTTATTTCAAAGCTCATGCTTACCTTTTGCCAGAAATCCATTGAAAACCTCATATACCAGATATCACACTGACTGTAATCAAATCGCCCTAGTATGGTCACATTTGACTCACTAGGCTTGATTTTATCTATATCATCCTCCATTTTGCCAGGTTTCCAGCACACAATGGCATTTTCACAAGACTGTCGAAAGAGAGAGGGGAAAAAGATATCACTTGCAATATAAGCCGTTAAAGTACTTTCCTTTGTTTTGAACTGTAAATGTTATCCAAACTTCTCCTCTAGACCCACCCTCCATTACATGAGGACATCATATGATATCATAGTTCTCTACCCAAATGTCTTGTCCATACCCTCCTAATATGGCATATGGCACCCAGAGTACTTGCCAATAACCTTCAACTGCAAAAGGGCACCTCTCTAAGTATGAAAATGAAGTGCACTCTGACAACTTAAACATAACAAGGGAGTTTTCATTCCATCTATGCACAGATCTGAAGACAAGTTAGCACCATTTTGAACTCTGTCCTCACTAAAAAGATGCTAACTGGTTTTCAAGTCTCTGAGCAGACTTGAAAACCAGGGCCTTAACCCAGTATCTACAGGGCAAATGTTTTTACTGTTAAGACAAGGAGGCATCCCACAGACCTTTCAATTCAAACGTATTTAATTTCTCCCTTAGGTTGCAAGATCTAGCATACTGTCCCAGAAAAGAGAAGTCTTCCTTTGTCCTCTGAATACTGCATCCAAAACCCAGTATTACTTTTAACATGTCTTTATCAGAACTATACTTAGAAGAATTCCAGATTTTAGACGCAAAATGCCTATATATAAAGCACTTGAATTCAACTATTTGCCACTTTGTTTAGGAAAGCTACATCACATGGCACAGTAAGTTAACTTAACAGCCCCTTCTACCCAAAAAAGCAAACAAACATCTTAAAAAGAAAATAACTTTAAGCAACATGGTTAAACAGTAAGCACCTTACCTTGGAAAGTATTAGATCTCCTAACCATCGTACACAGTCAACGTAGTTTCTATGTATGTCTCTGGTAGAAAAGTCAGGAAAGTGAATTTTCTGAGAAATAAAGGGCCTGTGGGGAAAACTGACATGTCAGATCCAGTAACACAAGAGAGAAAATTTCACTTTTAATAGATTAAACTCACAGAAAAACTTAAAAACTATGAAGTGTTTTTACCGTAAGTCAGCTAATAGTTATCAAAAAGTAGATTCCACAACCTTATTTATTACCTGATTACTATATGGCTTTATCTGTTACCCACATTTGTTATTGTAACAGGGGTCCCTAACCCCCAGTGCTGTGCAAGCTGCAGGGGTTCAGGATGATTAATTAGGTTATGCCCCATTAATGGGGAGAGAGAGTGCAGTGGCTGGAAGGGGCACAGCTCCACAACAGTCAGGCATCTGGCCAAGGCAGGGTAGCCACGTGGAGCTCCCTGAAACACTGTTAAGAGGCAAGTTACAATGAGTAAGCCCATAAGGGCTTAGACTGGCATTAGCCAGTAACAGAAGAGAAAGACCTGAAGAAAGGGCTGCATGGGTTACAGGGAGGTTTTGAGTACCTTTTGTTGATGGTTTTGTCTAAGCTGCAAGGCATAGGGTGGCTAACAGGGGTGCAGTGAGGACCCTGTGGGCACCAGGCATTGAGGACACTGGGTGTCCTGGGGATCTGGGGCAAGCCAAGGCCCCGGGAATGAGACTGAGCTTGCTTGGAATCCAGGAGCAGGTGAGTTTAGCCCAGGAGAAAGATTGAGCTTAATTAGGAGCAACCTAGCTATAGCCAGCTACACTGAGGCCCTGGAGTGATTGATTGGGTCAGACAGAGGAGCTCTGTGATGAGCAGGGTGGAAAAAGGCACCTGAAGTGTCACTCTGGCAATCTGAGGGCTACGACCCAAATCAAAAAATAAGATCAAGGCGTGGCAAAGAAAACGGAAAAGTATTTTTAGGAGGCTGGATGGTCAGTCAAGATCTGTCTGGATCTTCAGGGTACACCAGTGTCACAACAGAGGCACAAGGCCCATCAAAGTTATCCAACTCTATAAAGTTTGCAGAAGGGATGGCTATGACATGTATTAAAATATAGTGATATATGCACAGTTTTAATAACTGTAGTTAAGCAGTCAATTCTATGGTCAAGTCGAAAGGAAAGAAGTGGAATGAGTTAAACACAGTGACAAGATCTGTAACTAACCAAAACACTATTGCCACCAAGTTTCATTAGGATAAAACAAAATGATTTAGAGTTCAATACAACTCTTAAGTCAAGGGAACTCCCACACTAATTTTTAGTGAGAGATGATCTAGGCCCCTAGTGAGAACATTCAAAAAGAAACCTAGGAAGGAGGGAGGGAGGGAAGGGGAAAAAAAAAAAAAAATCAAGATTGTGTTTACCTGTTGGTTTTATTTGGGTTGTACTCATAAGATTCCTTGATAGCATTTATCATTCTCTTTGAATTGATTCTCCAGAGTTTCAGGGAGTGATCCATCCCACAAGACATTATTTTTTCCCCAAGAAGATCATAATCCTGTGCACACAAAAATATGCACATATAGTAATTTGCAGTATACTGATTTTATTTTTATTACATGTTGAATATGGCCACACCAGCACTTTCACTATATGGAGCATGTTAAACTTACACATTTCAGGTGGAAAAACATTAACTATAATAATTGAAAACTGTTTCTTGTTAACGGTACCACATGCTGGTATTCATGCCTACTCTTTCAAATACTACAAAGGAAAATTGAGTGAGACCAAGAGAAAACAAATATAAAGATATCTGCCACAACATCAAACCCATGGAATTTACTGCTGCAAGGAATATTTGAGGCACAAAGCTTAGCAAAATTCAGGAAAAGGACTGGGCATTTATATGAAGGAAGACCATCTACAGTTATAACCCCTACCCAAAGCAGTTTTAAGAGTGGTATAAATCCTCACATTTCAGGAAATAGGGAAGCAATGGCGTTATGAAGAAAGTTTTCCACCTGGGCAAATTATTTTAAATTTCATATATCACAGAGCCATCAAAAGTGGGCAGAACAAGCCTATGTAACTATGCTGGTAATGTAATTCATTCTCTCCCTTATTCTCCCTTTCTGTGAAGGCTGGCAAGTTGCACAGATAATGTCAGCCAAACACTCAGGAACCGTACCACCATCATGTGTTAGGTTATTTAATGGAAAAGTAATGAGATTTTTTTAAAGATATTTAAAACTAGTCCTTTTTTGGCACCTTCTACCTAATATTTGTATTATGTCCACCGCCATGGAAGACCAACGAGGGCTACTCTGTTAAAGGACTTGTGGGTTGAGGGCCCTGGACTGAACAGTTCTCAGAGCAGGGGCTGCCTTAATCTATTCTACATGTATGCCATGCAGTCTATGGCACTTCAAGGACTATAAATACTGAAGTATACAGGTATTTTAAGTTTCAATTGTTTCACCTAATAACCTGCTAAAACAGACATTTGATATTGTTACAGGAATTAACCAATTTTCTTAACCTATGATAAGTTTCTTGACTCTTATTTTAACCTAGCAGTTGAGATCAGTTTGGATGCATGCTGTCCAGTCATTTGTAAAGTATTTTCAGTAGAGAACATTTGAAGACCTTTCATATTTCCCAGTGCTCCTGCTCTTTAGCCCTATTAAGGCAATTTACCTTCAGGGGATATTGCAAAATATCCAGCTTTTCCAAAGGAGACGGTGTGGGGCAAGTGTTCTTTTTCTGCAGGTTGTCAAGTTTAGTTTTTTTGGTTGTTGGTTTGTTTGTTTTTTGCAAGGGGGGGGGGGGTTTGGGGGGGGAGAGCGCAGCACATTGAACTATACAAGTCCAGTATAAAGCTACATTTTAAATATTCAATTGTTCATGCAGTTTGAGTTTGAAACATAACGTGTAAAGCTGAACAAAATACAAAAGGATAAATGATAAACTAACCAGGATTAGTACCCCCTGCATAAATCTAAAGTTACTACCCTCTGTTTTCTACTTACTGCACTTAAAACCTCATCCCTGTGCCCTTCTACTCCGCCAAATATTGCAACCAGTGTATCTGTCTGAATGTTCCACAGTCTCAGTGCATGATCTGGTATAAAAACACAGAAGTTAACAAGTTAACCTTTATGCATTTGTACCTGAACAGAGTCAGTTTAGCCAGCACTTTCAAGAAGAGAAATTCCATGTTAGTATTTACAGTACACCAAGTACATTCTCAGATTACTACAAGTGTCAACAGTATTCAAGCTGTGTGTTGTTACAGTGTCACTTAGCACATCAGATATAGAAAGAAAGTGTTTTCTCAGCTACCCAATACAATGCCAGCTGTCATGTCAGACAAATTGCACTACTTCCTCCTTCTCTACTCTACCCTCATCTTCCAGGTAATGTTACAAGTGGCTAAACAGTGCTTGGATCTGTGATTTCACCATCTGGTATTCTCTGAGAAGTAACACTTAGACATACAAGCTTACAACAAGCAAGAATCATGCAGCCTAGATTTTCAAAGTTTCAACTATACACGTATACATAAAATAGTCAGGAAATGTAGTGTCCTATAGATCAGACTATGCATGAAGTTAGCTACAGGAATTAAAATTTTCTGTTCTTGTTCAGTCTTTGCCATAATACTATACTACTGAAAGCAGCTTTTAGTTTTTGAAATACTCATGGTTGATAATTCTTGTTATAGAGCACGGGTGTCAAACATATGGCCCGTGGACTAGAACCAGCCTGCAGAACCGTGCCATCCACTCCTGGTGCTGCCCCTGGGTCTGATCACAGCCATGTGGGGCATGGCATGGGGCTGGTCTGTGAGCCTGATCAGGCCCACAGACCCTGTCTTCTTCCCCTTCCCCCGCACCCTCCAGGCACAGATCCCAGAGCAGCTGAAACAGGCACCCTATGCGATGCGGTCTGGACAGAGCAGCAGCCACAGTGCACTGCACCACAGGTGGTGCCCATTTTTGGATATGCACTGCACATGGTGCCTGCTCCAGGCAACAGGGACTCATGCTGCATACGGTGCAAGTCTTGGACTGGCTGGAGCAGCACCGTCTGCGGTGTGTCCCCCAGAGCTGCTGGGGAGGTCACTGCATGCAGTGTGGCTGCTGCTCCAGCCAGACTGTGCCTCACACAGTGCCTGTTCCAGCTGCTCTGGGATCTGCGCTGCATGTAGCAAGGGTCCCAGCCTGGCTGGAGTAGCTGTCGGTCAGGAATGCTGGGGGAGAAAATGGGGGAGGGAGTCTGTGCAGCCAATCTGGCCCACAGACCAGCCCCATGCCAGATGAGGCCAGACAAGTGTAACACTCCTGGTTTAGCAATTATGATTGGCTGGACATTCTAAATAAAATTCATAAAGAGCCCATATTAATATCTACATTTTTTTCTTTCACTTGCACTAATTTTACCCAGGTAAAAGCCAATAAATTAAACGGAGATCTACTGACTTACACTGGATTGACAGGAGGCTGAAACCAAGATTTGTTTTTTCGAATGTTGAACAATATCTGCAATGTTCTCATCTCATCACTAGATGTCAGGGCAACTCCGCATATAAATAAATAATTTAAGTCATCATTATCACAAAGTTCCAATAATTCATGCTTGCTCAGTTGTCTCCCCCAATACCCACGTACTTTCCTTTCTACAAAGTGTGATTATACGCTGTCCTCTGGAATTCCTTCTAATGTAGTGAGTGGGTTTCACATACGCAAATGTAAAATTAAAGAGGTTAATTTGGTCTAGTTTCAAGGGTTGCGGGGGTGGTGGGGACTCATTTTTAAGTCACTTGTCAACCTCTGTGTTTTGGTGGGTTGCCACCACTTTCATTCACATCCAGCATCATATGTAAAGAACAAACTCTAACTTAAGCAGATGATTCTTAACCAAAAAAGCTGATTTTCTCACCTTTGCTTACAGAAAGGAGGAGATTTGGATCCCTTGGATGAAATTTTAGTTCATTGATTGCATTTCCATGGCCCACATAGTGCTGGAACAGATTTCAGAGAAAAAAGTTATTTCTGCCCCTTGCATCGATATAAGTTTAGAACAGACACTACTGTATGCTAATTTGTTGAGGTACAACCTAAAGTTTGGAACTGTGACCACTCACCTTTATACACTGCATTGTAATGGGATTAATTATCCTAATAATACCCCTGGAACACTGCATTGTAATGGGATTAATTATCCTAATTCTCCCCCTGGACCCAGCCACAGCCAGAAGAGGATGACTTGTATTGCTATCGTAGGTCCATGCACAAGTATAAAAGTTTTCATCTGCCTAAGAAGCACTATGTTAAGGACTAAAGGAACAGTTACAGAGTTTTGCATAAGATGTTTGAACAACACATTGGTGTAGGTCCCCGATTACAGTTTTGTGCGAGTGCCCAGAAGCCTGCACTCAAAGACTAAATATTTATTGATATTTCTATCAATACCAACTCCACCCTTCTCTGTAATACTTTTTTGTCATGCCCTCATTCTAGATTACACATATATAATGATGTATTTTGTCTGCTATCCCACCTCCTCCATTAAAAATACTCAGAGTAGAAATGAAACAAAGACCTTTGCCAGTAATGATTTGGTTTAAGCTTTGGACTGCAATTCAGGAACTCCCAGGTTTCAACCCCACATCTTATACCAACTGCTTTGATTTCCCTGTTGCTAAAAAGGAGTACATCACCTGCTTCATGGGGATGTTGGGAAGGCTGAACATGAAAATGTACAATGTATTAGTTCTGGGAGGCTTCAGTTGATATGGAACAGGTATAACAAATCAATTGCTAGGAAGAAAGAGAAGATTTCTGGGCAGAGGTAAGTTTGTACCTATAGTGAAAAATGTACTTTATCACCAACAAATGTGTTCATAGTACTGTATCCTAGGGAATATACTCATTTACTTTTCTATGTAGTCTCTCCAGTTTTGGTACACTGAGGAGTAAACAACTATTTCTCAGTTTAATCTTCTAAAATTATCTATAACATCATTTTTGGAGGATACATCAGCATCCACATAAGACTGCAATAAACGGATTTCTCCTTGGGAATGACATTCATATAACGTAACCTGGGAGGAAGGAGAAAAGAAAGAGTTGAACAGATTATTACTTTCACGTTAAATAGCATGCATTTACCAAAAGCAGCTGTATACTGATCTTCAAACAGAACATGTGATATGTATTTACTACACAGATCCCACCCACTACCTGTCCCTTTGTGGCATGTGGAAATGGTGTGATGCAAACATTCATAGTGTCTTAACCTCTGCCTCAAGAAAGCAGTCTTCATGGTGGCCTTTCCCAGGTTTGTACCATGAAGCGTATTTCATACCTTAGAATAAGTTAATACAACTAGTTCTAACTGGATTCCAGTTTTAACAAGCAACTGGTATCTGGTTTAACTTCTCTCGTATGGAAACATGGCTTGTTTCATTTCTTTTAATTAGTTTAATTTAATGCTTTAGTTTAGTGCTTATAATAATTGCCAGAAGGATGACCTTGGAAAATGAAGACTTTTCATTTATTCATAATACATAAGATGCTCCAGGTGCTCTCCAGAAACACATTATTTTTGAAGCTGTAATGATGTGGAAGGCTGTTAACTAAGAACCCATGAAAATTTATTTCATATAGGCTACTAATCTTTAGGTACTGTCAGTAGCTGACACACTGAAACTTATATAGATCCCACTCCATATCTCTTAGCCCTTTTTACACAGTACTCCAAAAAGCTAGACTTAAGGGGAAGAACATTGTTCACATCAGAGGTGGTCAACCTGCAGCACATGTGACACAAGCACAGGTATCCTATGCACATGGAACGCAGCAGACTGGGGAAGCGACGGTGGCGGGTAGAAAACAGAGTAGCAGATTGGGCAGAGATCACAGGGCAGAGAGCAGAGCAGCCAACTGAGCAGAGGAAGGGAATCAAAGAGGCATTCAGGGAGGGTACAGGGCTAATCTGTGGCATACCTATCAAAAAAGGCTGTCCCCCACTGGTTCCCATGAGTGAAGAGGTTTTAATAAAACAGATAATTGTATTCTCAAATAGCTCAAGTGTACCATCACACTACACTCTACTGGATTTATTTTTCTTGGCCACATTTACAAACTCTGGGAGAAAACAGACACACACCATTTCATAGCATAGTATTTTAACACAAAGCATAAGTAGAGTGATTGGAAGAAGAAAGAGAAACTGGCAAACAAAGACACAACCACAGGGGCACATCAGGTAGAAATGGAGTCTTACTCACTCTGTTGCTGCCTACAGTGGCAAAAACTAACGGATCACCTTCCTTACTGTGCCAGTTAAACTGGACTCCAAACAAAGGCTGGCCATGGTCCTCCTGTAAAGAAAAAGCCAAATCAGAAATGCAAAGGGACAAAGATCACAGATGCTTGTTTCTAAGAAATGAAATTCATTCCACAGGGCAAACTAGCTTACTTGGTGCAGCCTCTTCCCACACTGCTATGTTTTCATATGAATTTTATGAACCTTTTTAAAAATGTGTATCACAAAACTCTGTTGTCTTAATGCCAGTAAAGCAGGGGTGCTCAACTCCTGGCCAGCAGGCCATATCGGGCCTGCAGAGCCCAGTCATTCAATCATAAGGTATCTCCAAGGGCCTGAAAATTTGGCAGCATAGGAACAGTGACAGCATTAATTGCTGCTTCCCTGCTTCTGAATTTCTGGACTTCTGAGGAGCTCTGCAGGCAGACAGTGTGGCCCTGTAAAGTTAGATTGGGCACGCAGGGCTGGTGTGGCATGGGGCCCAAACTGGGAGGGACCCAGCTCACGAACCAACCCCACACTATTCATCTGGTCCAAGGAGCTGAAAGATTGAACACCATTGAACTAAAGTACATTCTATTTCTCTGG